CTGCGGAGCCGACCGCGGCCCCGCAACCACCTTGCCCAAACTCTCCGGAAGCGGCCCGAGTGGACAGGGTGCTCCGGCTGCCACAGCCCCGGCGGACCCGCGGCTCGACCGGAGGCGCGGGCCCTGCTGCCGCGTCCAAACTTGGAGCGCTTGACCTTTGGCTGCCGGAGGGGGCAGACCCCGCGGGGTGCTTGGACAGCTGCGGCGCCGTGAGGGCATCCTGCCCGGGGTTCCGGGACCGTCGGCTGCACTCCTGGGCGCCCGGCTCTACCTCCGGGATCCCGAGGTGTCCACATCAGGCGCATGCTGGCCGCGACCTGGAGACATGGATGTGTGCGCCGGTCTTGCCCTCTGGCTCTTCTGGGGGCTTCTCCTGCACCAGGGCCAGAGCCTCAGCCATGGCCACAGCGAGAAGACAGCAGGAACCGGTTCGGGGGCCGGTTCTGAGGAGTCCACCGCGGCAGGTAAGGCCTTGGGAAGGGCTGAACCAGTCTGGGGACCGTGGTTCAGAACTGAGGGGCCTGGAGTGGGCCAATCGAACCCTCGGTTTATACTTGAGCGGTTGGTGGATCATGCTTGACACCAGAGAGGAGTTCTTTCTCTTGAGCCATGGTTCCTTTTTCCCCTGAACATTTCTCCTTACTCCCCTCCATGGTGTCTTTTATCGGCAGAGGTCGGCCATTGGAGCGGCCTTTTAGACCCAGGAGTCAAGGCCCCTTCTCAGGACTACTCTGAAAGAAGGTCTTGGCCAGATACTAAGTCCATTGCTCCTGGCCGGTGTCAGCCTTTGGCAGCATAGGGGAGGTTAGGGCTGCTTGGGTTGGACAGAGAAAGTCAGGGCTGGGCCACTCCATTGGCAGCCTGGTGTTCAGGGTGGCCTTTCTGTCCCAACAGCCATGGGAACTTCATCCCTCCCTTTGCTTCTGTAATCTGCTCTCTCTAGGCTGTGCCCATTTGATAGTATGGCAGTTCCTTAGATGGAATCCTATTTACCCCCAGAGAGTTATACGGCCTTAAAACAAAACAAAACAAAATAAAAAGCATGGACATGATATAATTCCCAAGACCACTTGTTGACTTACTCTATTTCTTCTGACCAAAGAGGGTAGAAATTCCATTTTATTTTTTAAGCTACCCTGCATTTTTCCTGTGATCCGTGAAACCTTGTCAAGTGACAGAAGCCCTGGTGTGGCAGCAGCAGAAAAGAACACTTTTAAACTTCAGTGGCTTTCCACATGGCTGAGGAGGAAAAGATCCGTTCTTCCCCATTTCTCTCACTCTGTTGCTGTTATCAGTTTGGGGCTGTGGGGATGGGAGTGTGTGTGTGTGTGTGTTTGAGGAGGGTGGGGGAGCACGTACGGGGGCTCTTGCTGGGTGGGGCGGAGTTTATAGAGCAGCTGTTTCCAAGGGTAGGCAGGCTAAAGTGTCGGGGACCTCAGAGTAGGTACCCACGGATACAGGTAGAAAAAATATAGGTCCTGATTGCTGGAGAGTTGCGTGGATGGATCCAGAGGTTTGCATTGGTACTGATTCTTTCTGGGCCAGACCTCTTTTATCTTTGCTGACTGGGCTTGATGTGATTCTGAAAGCCCAAGCCCTGGGTTTCAAAGGAGACTTGGGTGCCATGTGTACAAACTTGCATGGCACCTGGTTCATTCTCTGACCCCCTGGTGGAGAAATTGCATTCTGGTCTGATCCCCTGCTGTGGAGATTTTGCATTTGTACCCAGATGTACTGAATCAGTACTTAACATTTTTAACAAGCTTCCCAGGTAATTTCCCCTGTTTTGAAGAATGGTTCTTTCTATGTATTAAACCTCTCTCTCCATAGGGAATCGCTTCTTCTTGGCCTCTGAAGCCACCTCCCTCAAAGTTTTGGTCTCTTTGGACTGTGAAGGACAAGACTAGTGAGCAAATAGAGACTGAACTGCCCCAGTGACAGCCATCCAAGAACTCCGACAGGGACATCACTGCCACGGCGTCTTTTCTTCATCCTAAAATTTGAGAGCCTGCCATAAAATGCATGTTTTGTGTGTGTGTGTGTGTGTGTGTGTGTGTGTGTGTTGCAGGAGTATAGTTTCGACATAAGCTAAAGGGAAGAGTTTTGAGTTGTAGGCATAATCTAGCTATGGGAGAGTTTTTTTTGTTTTTTTTTGAACATTTTATTAGGGGCTCATACAACTGTTATCCCAATCCATACACACATCAATTGTGTAAAGCGTATTTGTACATCATTTCTCAAAACATTTTCTCTCCATTTAAACCCCCGACATTAGGTCCTCATTTTTCCCCTCCCTCCCCGCTCCCCCCTCCCACATGAGCCCTTGATAGTTTATAAATGGGTATTTTGTCATAGCTATGGGAGAGTTTTTATCTCCTCCTGCCCCCTAAAATCAGGGTCATCTCTTCAGCCCTCAGAACCACCTTATGGCTTGAGCTCATGAGGTTGCATTGCACTAATTAAACTCTGACCTTTCTCCCAAGAAAGGGACTTTTCTGCATGTTCAGTTCAGAAATTGGTCTCCGTTATGTTCTCACAATAATGTTGACCTGCAGGGGTGGCAGGGGTGGCACTCAGAGAGAGGTCCTGGGTGCTGGGAATGGCTCTAATTGGTGGGAACCATGGAGGCTCCAGCCCTCTTATTTTGCTACACTGTTCCTTTGGACTTGGCTGAGACATTATCTCTGATTAGAGAGGGCCTTGGTTTTGTTCTGTTTTTACAACTTTTTATCACAAATTGGTTTTTGGAGCAAATCCGTTTTCCCGTTGACAGTTCATCCACATTTAGTTTTCAAATCATCCCGGCCTCATTTTTTGCACAGAGGTGGCTCATGGGCTGGCCTCTGCAAAGGGGTTTGAGGAGAAGCCTTCTATCCACTTAGGAGCTCTTGTGGCTGTCCCAGCCCCTCTGTAACCCCAGAGCATGTGTGTATGTGTGTGGGGGGTGGGGGCAAGGGGTCGCTTGCCCTTCAAGCTTCCACTTTTCTAAATCCGATTCGACAGTCAATTTGTATGTTTCCGTGGTTTGTATTATACAAGTATACACCTGCTCTGCCCACGAAACCTCACAATAGCGTTTGTGAGATGAGGATGGTGAAGCAAGTAATAGTATTTCCATTCTCATGGATGGGGACCCTGGTCCTGTGTTCCGTCTAATAGGCAGGTCTCCTAATGCTTCAGTCCTGGACTTTTGCCATCTTCTCAGGCCCTGCCCTGTTAAAGGAGCCATGGGCGGGGCCTGGAGCATGTTGTTTTACTCCGGTGACTCTTTAGTTAACATCCAAGGAAAGGACTGCCTTTTCCTCCTCTCAAGAGTCTTCTATAGAGACCTAGAGAATTGTTTTATTTATTATTATTAGTTTTCCTTGTTAGATATATACACCCATCTGACTCATTTTAGCCAGTTAAAAAATTTGATTCTAAGAAGGATTTAGAATGCTTTTGGCTTCACCAGGCATGTACTAAACACTTAGATTCTAAATGGTTCTCAACCTTCCTAATGCTGCGACCCTTTAATACAGTTCCTGGTGTTGTGGTGACCCCTTCCCCCCCCAACCATAAAGTTATTTTCGTTGCTACTTCATAACTGTAATTTTGCTACTGTTATAAAGTGGGCGCCCCCTGTGAAAGGGTCGTTTGAATTCCCCAAAGGAGTTGCAACCCACAGGTTGAGAACTGCTGATTTAGAACAATCTGACTCTTCAGTAAAGGTAGGTGTACTGCTTAGAGACCCTCCCACAGGCCATGGAGAAACCTTTTCCGCCACCTCCTGTGATGCCTGCACACCTGGTCACTTTCTCAGTAAAGTCTCTGGCTTACTGCCTCCGAAAGCTCCAAGTGTTTTGTGTGAGATGTCCCAGGTGGAGTTTGGAGTTGTGTCTGCTCTTGCTAGAGGTATTCAACCAAGTAAAACCAAGCTTACTGCCATCGAGTCAATGCTGACTCACGGTGAGCCCTTGTGGGTTTCTGAGACTGTAAGTGTTTACAGGAGTAGAAAGCCCAGTCTTTCTCCTGAGGTTTCAAACTGCCAACCACTCGGACTGCAGCCCAACTCATAACCATTACACCACCAGGTTCCCTAGAGCTATTAGGGGGTCCCTGATTAGGACCTGTGGTTGAGCTCTTTACAGCCATAACAGGGTGTCAGGGGATGGACATCTTGGCAGGGTGAGGAACCCTTGATGAAGTGGGAGGCCTGAGCCCTGCCTGCCCACCCAGCTAGTTGCTGCTGTCTCCGAGGCTATAAATGGCTTGGCCATCATAGTAACTATGCTATTTTTATCTGAGGGTGGCTCCCAGAACTGGGCTAGGGCCAACGGCAGGTAGGTGGGGCTTGACTGAGGCTAACACTAGGGGCTGGGAAGAGGTTCCTACTAATCCTTGGACATCACCTGCTCCCAGACCTCAGCTTTGGAAAGTCACCCTTTGCTCAGCTAATTGATTCAGCAAACAGTGAATAATAACAGCCTCATGCTCTATTTGTTTATCAAATACGTGAATACCTGCTCTGGGCCTTCCAAGGGGAAACAAAACAGACACGCTTTCTGTCTTCCTAGAGTGTACAATCTAGTGTGTGAGGGGGAGACAGAAAATAGCTACACATGTAGATATATTATCATGTGGTAAACTCTATGGAGGAAAATGTAATCAGGGTGCTTGGATGGGGAACAGGAGGAGATGGACATCTAGTTGAAGTTGACCCCTGTGCCCAGTAGAACAGCTTAGACCAGCAACATAACAATATGATAGCAACGGAACTTTTTTCAGTGCTTACTATATACCAGCCATGATTCCAAACTTTTATTTACATCTTACAATCATCTTCTGTGATAGGTATTATTCCCGTTTTATAGTTGAGGACATTGGATCCTAGAGAGAGGTTAAGTACCTTGCCCAAGATTTACGCAGATAGTAAGGTAAAGAGCCAGATTTTGGATCCCGACAGTCTGATCCCCCCCACCCCCCCAGTTCCTATTCTCGCTCAGCTATGGGAATACACACTCCCTCAAAACAATGTGGTAAATGCTCTAATCAAGGTACTGCATGAGAGGAGACTTCAGAATGTTTGTGGGAAAATTCGATTGTAATCCCATTCTCCACGAGCTTTTTGACCCCCACCCCCTCATATATCGTCTATGCCTATTAGAGGAACTCTGGTGGTGCGGTGGTTAAAGGACTCCACTGTTAATTGAAAGGGCACCGGTTCGAACTCACCAGCTGCTCTTTGTTCTTTGGGAGAAACATGGGACTGTTTGCTTCTATAAAGATTTATAGCCCTGGAAACTTTACAGGGCAGTTGTACACTGTCCTGTAGTCACCAAGAGTCAGTTATATGCCTGCATGAGGCCTTGGGAGGCCCAGGGGAGGAAGTGACTAACCCTGAGAAAGCTGAGGGAGGCTTTACAGTTTCCCCACTAGTTTTTCTCAGTTGGGGAGATTAAAAAGTGGCTGCCCAATTCATAAC